GTATCGAAATCTTATAAGGTAAACAAACAATTTTTTGTAAATGAACATTTTTAAAAATATTAATTTTGATACATTAACAAAAAAAATTGTTTATTTATATTAATAATAAGTTTTAAATATATATATTATTTTTGAGTATTTAGAAAAATTTTTAATATGTTTTTAAAACTATATTTTGAAAAATATTAAAAATTTGAAAAATTATTTGCAACAAAAATTTTTATAAAAATTTAAAAATATTAATTAATCAATTAATAATAATAATTAATTAATATTTAATAATATAATATTCAAAATTTTTGCTTCTAAAAGAAATTTTTATTGTATAATAGTAATACCTCTTTCTATAGGCAACCTATAGCGTTACGTGCCAATTCTAGGACAAGCTGTCAACTTTTATTGCGGAAATAATATTGACGCTTGTAAAAACACCGAATCTTAATAAACAAATTTTTTCATAAATCTGTATTTACTATAGATTTTTGGAAAAGAGCCCTTTTTTAAATAATGTTTCTGGATTTTGTAAAAAAATTATTAAACACTTTTTCCTTTTTTACTGAAAATTTTCACTTTGATCATTTAAAACAAAAATTTAGACACTATCGAAAGAAGGTCTCTTTATCAAAAAACTATAATCATAATCAAAAACTATAGTCAATATTATCTGACAGCTTGTCATAAAAAAATAGACTTTACGCAACAGGTTGCCTATATAGAGGGGTAATACTATATTAGTGTTAAAAATTATTTTATCATCAAAAATAATTTAAGTTATACTTTTTTTGAAAAATTTGTAATACAAAAATATAAATAAAAGAATTTGTTTATGATAATTATTAAAAACTAATAGAGGTTACAATTTTAAATAAAAAATTATTTATTTATTTCAAAAACTAATTATGCATTTTTATTATTTTTATTTTCTTTTTAAAACTTTTATTATCAAAAAACGATTGCCCGCTTACAGAAAGAAGGGACAGATGGCGCAGTAGAGGTGCTTTCAGTAAAAAAAATCAGACAAATGCGAGTTACACTCGTACTATTCATGAAATCGAGGGTTCCTTATACACAGCGATCTTATTTGATATAAAATCCAATTTTTATTTTTCGAAAAAAACTCAATTAAAACAATTTCCTATCATGTTTGTTAACTTTTTCTTATATTCTACACGTCAAAATACGTAAAAATGTTCTGGTGGAAAAATACATTGACAACGGCAGGACCATCAACTCCAATTTTATTGGGCTTGCTTTTTTTTTTTGTAATCAACACCTAAAAATGCATAAATTTTAAACCTTTTTTCATATATAATTTTCTTCGATTTCGGTATTCTTCTTGTCTTGAACCATAGTTTTATTGATATTTTTGTGCAAAAACATTGATTTGTTTATTTATAAACAAAAAATAAAAAACCATGATAACAATTGAATTTCAAGTTGAAAAAAAGCTTCACATACTTAATACCCTTCTGAATAATATTTGTTTGAGAAAAAAATGGCACGCATTGGAAAATTGGGTTATTTAAACATTTTTTACAGCGCGCATAGCCCGTGTAATACATAGTGACACGCACCGCGCAACGTTCAGCTGGAACTCCAATCGTGCGTCTCCAATAGGAACCTTAAAGGCCTTTCTCCAATAGGATCCTAAACTCTTGCGTTGCGTATGCATTGCGTCGGTTGCTATTGGCAACCAATGCTAAAATCAACGCGTCAGTTACGCAACGCAAAAGTTTAGGTTCCTATTGGAGAAAGGCCTTAAAGCCTTTCTCCAATAGGATCCTAAACTTTTGCGTTGCGTATGCATTGCATCGGTTGCTATTGGCAACCAATGCTAAAATCAACGCGTCAGTCACGCAACGCAAAAGTTTAGGTTACTATTGGAGAAAGGCATTTATGTCGGTTCTACAATGGGCACGTGTGTACGAGAACGTGTAGGTTCTGTACTGACGTCACCTATTTGCAGAACATTGTGACGTCAGCACGTACATGTGCACGTACATGTACAAATGTAACCATTGTAAAACCGACATAAAGCAGAGTCCAGAATGAACACGTTACGTTATAACGTTAACGTGCTGACGCCATAATGATATTTCAAATGTGTGACATCACACGTTAACGTTAACGTACCGCGTAACTTGCTCATTCTGGACTCAGCTTTGGTTGCTTCGTACGTGAACGTGAACGTTTCGTGCTGACGTCACACGGAACGTACACGTTTGCGTACGAATGTGTCCATTGCAGAAGATACTTCAGGTTGAGTCCAGAATAGACAAAAACATAAACGTGAACGTAACGTATCCATTTAAAATACATTGTGACGTTATATTTACGTTCATGTTTTTGGTCTATTCTCGACAGGCCCTTAAAGCATTCGTAAACAGACGTATGACATCACCAATACTAAACTAAATGAGAACCAACGAGACGTATACGCAACGCTTGTTCTTAGGGTCCCATTGAAGACGCATCATAAGGGCCTGTGCAGAATATACAAGCCTTGCATACACATCGAGTTGGTTCCCATGTAGTTCGGCATTGGTGACGTCATACGTATACGTTTACGAATGCTCTTAGGTTTCTATTGGAGACGCTCCATTAAGGCCTTTCTCCAATAGTAACCTAAACTTTTGCGTTGCGTGACTGACGCGTTGATTTTAGCATTGGTTGCCAATAGCAACCGACGCAATGCATACGCAACGCAAGAGTTTAGGATCCTATTGGAGAAAGGCCTTTAAATGGACACGTTACGTTCACGTTTATATTCTTAGTCTATTGTGGACTCAACCTAAAGTTGGTTCTACAATAAGCGCGTCGGACATGAACGTATATGTGCTGACGTCACCCATTTGAATAGCATTACGATGCGTCGCGTCTGTGTTTGCTCCATTCTGGAACTAGTTTAAATAAACCGATGCGTCGAATGCCATTATACATGTATATATGAGGCGCTTCATATGAGAACGACATATGATGTCTCAGATCAAGAAGACTAGAATAAGGAGGTCTAAGTCAGGTAGTGGGGGTACGTAAAGAATTTGTTTTCGAGGTAGGCCGAAAGGCAGAGTGTGCGGTAGACTTCTGCGCACACCAATACATATACAAAATAAAGATACACATATAGAATTACTGAAACTTGTATGTTTTGGTATGCGCAGAAGTCTACCGCACACTCTGCCTTTCTCGAAAATCCGCCTACTGCAACTACCAATTTCATACGTATACTTACCATACCCCCACTACCTGAGTTAGACCTCCTTATTCTAGTCTTCTTGTCTCAGGTTTTCCTTAACTTTTGGGTTTTGAGAGACATTTTGGTGTTAAATAAGTATGTAAATTTTGAATTAAATTTTTTTAATATGTTTAGAGATATTTGCATTAAAAAATTATTGTAACATTTTTTTCTTTTTCTTATAACTTTTGTTCTTTTGATCCTACAAAAAAAAGTTCTAAATGTTTTTTACTCTAAAAATGTTAAAATTTATGAAAAAAATTATTGCACTAAAAAATTATTAAATTTCAATTATTTTTTAAAATATAAAATTTAATTTCACGTTTTAAACATGTTCTTCCTATTTCTCAAGCCTGAAAAAAATCATGAATGAAGTTGATAATGTACTAAAGACTTCCTGAAATTTTAAGCTTGGCGTTATTTTTTGTTTTCGAGATAAAAATATTTAAACATTGAAATGCATGGGTTAAGCGCATAAAATAATCATTCTACAGGGCCCCAGTGAGAACACGCACCGCATGTGACCGTCGCCGCGGCGCACTAAATTATGGGCCCCTCTTACAATGATCGTTTTGCGCGCTGAACCCATGCATTTCACCGTTTAAATATTTTTATCTTGAAAACAAAAAATAACGCCAAGCTTAAAATTTCAGGAAGTCTTTATTACATTATCAACTTCATTCATGATTTTTTTCAAACTTGAGAAACAGGAAAAACATGTTTAAAACGTGAAATTAAATTTTATTTTTTAAATAAATTAATTGAAATTTTATAATTTTTTAGTGCAATAATTTTTTTCATAAATTTTAATATTTTTAGATTAAAAAACATTCAGAACTTTTTTTTGTAGGATCAAAAGAATAAAAGTTATAAGAAAAAGAAAAAAATATTACAATAATTTTTTAATGCAAATATCTCTAAAAATATTTTAAAAATTTAATTCAATATTTACATACTTATTTAACACCAAAATGTCTCTCAAAACCCAAAAGTTAAGGAAAATCTGAGACATCATATCTCGTTCTCATATGAAACGCCTCATATTAATATATGAAGGTTTTACGCCGAACCAACATATTTTCCACTTTGACCTGTTCAATTTTGCTTAAATTTTTTTACCGTTTTGTATCCTCGAAAAAGAGATAAAAATAGTTTTAAAAACAAGATTTTAACAATTAAATTACAAAAAATATATGTTTATATAAACACGGTTCGGAAAGAATTTTTTTTCTGTAACACATATCACGTGGATTTTTCGTTTTAAAAAGTTTTGTAACAGTTTTTATTTCAGTACTCTTAAACGATTCAGTTGACACTGTGTTTGTAAATAATTTTTATTTGCGCTAAAAAAATGAAGTCATTCGTCCTAAGATGGACAGTCTGGTGGCCCTAAGATGGACATATCACCTTAATTTCTTAATTTTATTTATTTTCAATGTTACAGTTACTTAATATTGCGGACCCTGGTTCGAATGTCCGAATTGTGACTCAGACATTTCAGCTTAGATCTGGATTTATTGTTAATCTCCTTTAATTAATTTTAAAATATAACTAATCTCTTACTAAATAAATTATAAATTAAATAAATTGGATTGGATAAATTAAATAAATTAATTTAATTAATTTATTATTTTTATAATTAATTTTCTCCCAATATTATTTAATTTTTGACATTTAAAAAATGTTAGAACTTTTAAAAAATATAATGAAGAAACAGAAAATTGGTTCAAAAATCCTTACTTGATATTTTATTTTACCTGTTTTTTAATGCATATTATGAAGGCGTCCATCTTGGGGACACTTTTTTTCAAATCGAAATTTATAACTATTTAAAAAAATTCTTTAAAATATGTTTGTTTTCAAATTGAAATTTTTTCTTTATGGCCAAAAGATACCTTATTTATTGTACTTTCATACGGTATGCATTATTTTTAAATATCCTAAAACGTTTAGGTTCTATAGCACAAAATTAAAACTATGTCCATTTTGGGGCCCTCTCCCCTAGTAAATTTTAATTTTATAATTTTTTGGATGAAATTGTTGTGAAGTTCATTTAAAAACACACTTTTTAAAAAAAAAACTTTAAAACTTGATGCATTTTTAAGGAGAATGGAGGGTAAACATAACCTCAAAAACCTGTAAAAACTAAAAAATTGTTTCTGACGCAAACAAAAAAATAATAAATATTAATTTTAAACAATTTTAGAAGATCTAGATTTAGGGGCTGTTCACAAAATACGTAACGCGTAAGGTAGAAATTTTTAAAAAAATCGTTACGTATTTTGTGAAAGTCTATTACTCCTTTCGAAAAAAATTATTTTTTTCCAATATATTTTGTCATTTGATTTTTTTGAAAAATCACATATGTTGTGTAAAAAGATGAATTTGACGAAAGGTTTTTTCCTGCTCTATCTAATGTTACACATTTTTTTTATTAAAAAAATTTTTAATTTACCTATTTTTTGAAAATTAAAAATATTTTTGGATGTTTGTTAAGTGCACCAATTTTTTCTTTTTCATTGATTAATTTTAAAAAGATACTTTTATTCAAAAAATTATACAAATTTCATTTTTTTAGGTATATTAATTAATTAACAATATTGAACAAATAAATTTATAATGATTCTAAACTAACCACTTAAAAATTATGTATGTAATTCCGCATCCAAGGGGCTCTATAAGAATGAAAAGAATAGAATTGCAATTATTTATTAACAGTACACAAATCCAAGATACTTATAGGGCTCATTGAATGTGGAATGCATAAACTATCAAGTGATAAGTTTAGAATCACGATAACTTTATTTATTTCTAAAATATTTCATTCTTTATTTACATTAATTAAATAATCAATTAATATCTCGAAAGATCCTAATTTTGTTTAGTTTTTTTAATTAAAATTATACATTTAATGAATTAAAAAAGAGTCCATTTACAAAATTAATTAAAATATATTTTTGATTTTAAAAAATGGGGTAAATTTTTAATTAAAAAAAATTGCATCAATTTAAAAGAGCAGGAAAATTTATATATTAATTTAGAAGTTTGATTAACGACAAAAAATATTAACCTAAAAGTATTTTAAAACAATTATTTTTTATTAGAAGGCATTATAAGTAATTCTAAAACAATAAATCTATAAGTTAATTTTTTTACTCTGCTTATAATATTTTATTATATTCGAGGAGTTTAAATAAGTGCGGTTTTGACTATGCAAATCAAAAGTCCATTGCAGCGCAAGCGCATTTGGTGACGGTCGTTGGTATCTTTTGAGATTTGCTTGTTTCCTGCGCGTTGCGGTCACGTTGCTCTCCAGAAGACTTTGAGGAGTTCTTCGCGTTCTTCGCAACCAACAAAATGAGAGGTGCATCAAGCAATCGGAGAAGCAAGAGCGCTGGAAGAGGCAGGCGTGAAGGATCGCGAAATCGACGAAAGCGATCAAAAATAGGTGAGTACTTTTATTTTTCCTCAATAGAAACGGGTAACACTCTAGGAAGCCCGGAAGTCGAATAACCGGCAAACATCCCAGGTAATTATCTTTTTTCTTGATTTTATTCCAGTATTTATTATACTTATTTTTGGGTTTTATTATTGTTGTTTTGTTATATTTGAAATATTTTATTGTATTTATTCTTTCTTTTTTTATTTTTTTATTCTTATTATTAATTTCTTGAATTTTTATTACATAAACTATCGCTTTTCATTCTTATCTTATTTTCTTTTTATTTGTATTTTCATTTATGCATGCTGTTTTTTCATATTTCACTTTTGCTTTATTTATGTTTTGTTTACATTTTTTTCTTCTTCTTTATGTTGTCATTGTTTTTTCTATATTTGTTTCTCGCCTTCACTTTGATTTTAATATCAATTTTAAGAATATTCTCTCTTTTATTTTTTTATTTTTTTATTCATTTTCATACATCCAATTATTTGTTGTATTTAACTCTTATACATTTATTTCTTACTATTATCACATATTTGTATTTTTCTAATTAGATTTTTTTTCTTTCTGCATTTGTCCATTTTTCTTTTTATTAATTGTTTTTATATCATTGTCTCCAGTTTTCTTTTCTTTAGTTTATACTTAGTTTTATTATCGTTTTTATTCCGATGATTATTTTGTTAAATTTTTGCATATTTTCGCCTTTCATTTTTATTCTATTTATTTTTTTTCATTATATCAGTAAATATCTTCCTTTACTTATTTTTCTTATTCACATCCAGCTTACTCATATTATCGTTTTATTATATATTAAATAGGTATTTATAGTATTGCATTGTAATCATATTCTTCTTGTTTTAATTTGTTTCGTCAAATTTATTAATATTTTTATTTTTATATTTAATTCTTTTCTCTTTTTTTAAATTGATACTCTCGTTTTTATTAACCTTTTTTAAATTAGTATTTTTCAATTTATATTTTTTTAAATTTCTTAATCATATATTTATATTTCATTTTAGCAAATGCAGCAGCACACCATCCACCTTTGCCAGCAATAAACGACGATAATGGTAAATATATTTTTTATTTCATTATTATTTATTAGGTCTATTTTTGTTTTTATACACTTTTCTTATAATTTTATTACTGTTTTGATATATTTAAATTTTTTGTCGGATTTATTTCTTACTCAAACTTTTATTTACTATTATGATTTATTTGTATTCTTCTAATTATGTTATTATATATTTGTCCATTTTTTATTTTTTTTTTATATAATTGTCGCCAGTTATCTTTTCTTTAGTCTATATTTATTTAAATTTTTATTCTGAATAGTATTTTGTTAATTTTTTGTATCCTTTGCCACTCATTGTTATCATTTTTATTTTTTTTGTTTAATTATATCTAAAGTTTTTTATACTTTATTGATAGTTTTATTTTTATTTTTTTTGTATTTAAATCCTTTGTTTTATTTATTTTTTATTTATTCTTGTCAATTTTATTTGTTACTAAATTTTAAATTTTTTTTTCAGCACATGCTCCGATAAACCCTCCACAATTTCAACCAGTAAACTTAGGTAATTATAATTTTTCATTTATTTATTTATTGTCCTTTTTCAGTTTTTATTTTCATTCATTTTTTTATATAATTGTCGCCAGTTATCCTTTTTTGTTCTTTATTTATTTTAATTTTCGCTTTTATTCTGATGATTATTTTGTTAAACTTTTGTATATTTTTGCCTCTCATTTTTATCATTTTGATTCTTTTTATTTTTTGTGTTCATTATGTTTAGTTTTTTTTATTCATTATGATTAGATTTTTTTATTTTTTATTTATGTTTCTTCTTTATAATTTTATTCCTTATGTTATTTTTGTTTCTTGACATTCCTTTTTTTATTATTAATTTTTATTATATTCTCTCGTTTTTTAAAAATTATTTTTCATTGTTTCTATGTTTTGTTTTTATCATTTTTCTTCTTTTTGTATAGTATTGCATTTGAATCAGATTCTTCTTGTTTTAATTTTGTCGTCAATTTTATTAATATTTTTATTTTTATGTTTCAATTTTTCCTGTTTTATTCCTCTTTTTTTAAATTGATATTCTCGTTTTTATTAACCTTTTTTAAATTAGTATTTTTGAATTTATATTTTTTTAAATTTCTTAATCATATATTTATATTTCATTTTAGCAAATGCAGCAGCACACCATCCACCTTTGCCAGCAATAAACGACAATAATGGTAAATATATTTTTTATTTTATTATTTATTAGGTCTATTTTTGTTTTTATACACTTTTCTTATAATTTTATTACTGTTTTCATATATTTAAATTTTTTGTCGGATTTCACAATCCATTTTTTAATTTTTCTTTTTTTACACTTTTTTAATTTTTTTATATAATTGTCGCCAGTTATCTTTTCTTTAGTCTATATTTATTTAAATTTTTATTCTGAATAGTATTTTGTTAATTTTTTGTATCCTTTGCCACTCATTGTTATCATTTTTATTTTTTTTGTTTAATTATATCTAAAGTTTTTTATACTTTATTGATAGTTTTATTTTTATTTTTTTTGTATTTAAATCCTTTGTTTTATTTATTTTTTATTTATTCTTGTCAATTTTATTTGCTACTAAATTGTAATTTTTTTTTCAGCACATGCTCCGATAAACCCTCCACAATTTCAACCAGTAAACTTAGGTAATTATAATTTTTCATTTATTTATTTATTGTCCTTTTTCAGTTTTTATTTTTATTCATTTTTTTATATAATTGTCGCCAGTTATCCTTTTTTGTTCTTTATTTATATTAATTTTCGCTTTTATTCTGATGATTATTTTGTTAAACTTTTGTATATTTTTGCCTCTCATTTTTATCATTTTGATTCTTTTTATTTTTTGTGTTCATTATGTTTATTGTTTCTTTTTATTCTTGATTTATGTTTCTTAATACTTTTATTTCTTATGTTATTTTTGTTGTTGTTTTATTATGTATTTACTGCCTATAGTTTTTCATTTTATTAACATTTTTATTCTTTAAACTATTATTGTATTTATTATATTTTGTTTTCAATGATATTAATATTTTTTCCTTCATTTTTGTTTTCTGTTTTATTTCTATATTTATTAATAATTTTGTTCTTAATATTTAACTTAATACTGTAATTCTTCTAGTGACTTGATTTTTTAAATTACTCTTAATATTGTCCCCTTTTTTGTGTTAGCAAACGTTGCAGGAGATCCGCCACAATTGGAACCGGTAATCATCCCTGATGGTGATTATTATTTTTGATTTTATTACATATTGCTTTTTTTAGTTTTTTATACTTTTTTCATAATTGTTTTTTATTCTTATTGTAGTTAAATCTTTTGTTTTATTTATTTTGGTTTTATTCTTGTCAATTTTATTGGGGGCTGTTTAGAAAATACGTAACGCTTCCAGGGGGCAGGGGAGGTTGAAATTTCCAAAAAAAGCGTTACGTATTTTGTGAACTGACTTTTGCTACTTAATTTTATTTTTTATTTTTTAGCACATGCTCCGAGAAACCTTCCACAATTTCGACCAATAAACTTAGCTGATGGTAATTATAATTTTTGATTTAATTATTTATTGCCTTTTCCATTTTTTCATATTTTTTTCATAGTTTTATTATTGTTTTCTTTCTATGTAATGGGACTTTCTGGTTTAGAATTCAAAAAAATCGATTTCTTTAGTTTAAAAATTATGACATAGAGTTTTGGTTTTTATTCAGATTGTTCTTGTTTGAATTAAAATTGTTTTTATTTTCTTTTGTTTTCATTCTTATTAATATTTTTACTTAATTTTTGTTTTTAATCTTTCTCTGTTTTATTCCCTTTTCTCATTCATATTCTCAATTTTGATCTCACCATTTTTTATATTTGTATTCTTCTATTTACATTGTTTTTTTAATTCTTCATCTTATTTCCATATTTCATTTAGCAAATGGAGCAGGAAACCCGTTACAAATGCCACCATTTTACGTACCGCATGGTAATTATTTTTTTCCTCTTATTATTTATTAGGTTTATTTATGTTTTTCATTCCCTTTTTTTAATTGGATAATTGCTTTGTTATACTTAAATCTTTTCTCGTAGTTGTAGTTTTTTTAATATTTCATTCTTGATTCATTTTTGTCCCTAATGTTTGTATTCCTTAGGTTATTTTAGTTTCTTGTCTTTCCTTCTTTAGTTATAATTTTTTATTATATTCTGTTTTATTTTCTTATTATTTTTCTTATATCAGTTTTTATGTTTTATTTTTATAATTGTTATTAAATTTTTGTATTTTTATAATTGTTAAAATTTTTATACTTAAATCATTTCACATTTTGTAAATTATAATTTTATTGCTTTTTAAAATTTATTCTCATTTTTGTACATAGTATCTTCCTATTGTCGTTTTTAATGTATTTATAACATATAGTTTTGAATTTTATTCAGCTTCCTCTGGTTTTAATTATTATTGTATTTATTTTCTTTTTAATTTCATTCTTAAATTCTTACTTTTATTTTTGTTTTCAATTTTTCCCTTTTCTTCTTTTTTTTAAAATGATATTCTCGTTTTTCTTTTAAGCCTTTCTTCAAATTTCTATTTTGATACTTACATTATTTTTTTATTTTATTTTTAATCTTATTTTCATTTTTCATTCTAGCTAATGCAACAGGAAACCCTCCACAATTGCCAGCACTAAACGTACCTAATGGTAATTATGTTTTTAATTTTATTATTCATTAATACTTTTTTTTGTTTTTAATTTTCTTATTATTTTTCTTATATCAGTTTTTATGTTTTATTTTTATAATTGTTAAAATTTTTATACTTAAATCATTTCACATTTTGTAAATTATAATTTTATTGCTTTTGAAAATTTATTTTCATTTTTATACATAGTATCTTCCTATTATCGTTTTTAATGTATTTATAACATATAGTTTTGAATTTTATTCAGCTTCTTCTGGTTTTAATTATTATTGTATTTATTTTCTTTTTAATTTCTTTCTTAAATTCTTACTTTTATTTTTGTTTTCAATTTTTCCCTTTTCTTTTTTTTCAAAATGATATTCGCGTTTTTCTTTTAAGCCTTTTTTCAAATTTCTATTTTGATACTTACATTATTTTTTTATTTTATTTTTAATCTTATTTTCATTTTTCATTCTAGCTAATGCAGCAGGAAACCCTCCACAATTGCCACCACTAAACGTACCTAATGGTAATTATGTTTTTAATTTTATTATTCATTAATACTTTTTTCATTTGATTCTGACATATATGTCAAATTTAAGTCGGGAAATTCATTTCTTAATTTGACATTGACGTCAAAATAAATTTGAATTTGACATTAGAATGAGCTTGACTTTGATGTTAGAATTAAATCAAATTGCATAATCGACACTTAATTTTCTTTTTTTAGTCTATATATCTTTTCCCTCACAACACAATGATATTCAGGATATCCCTGGGACGTCCTGGGGATATCCATTTGCTTTTGGCGATTCGGATATCCCTAAGATATCCTCTGGATATCCATGGACATCTCTAAGATATCCCAGGGATATCCAAACCGCCGAAAACAAATCGATATCCCCAGGACGTCCCAAGGATATCCTGAATATCCTTTTGTTGTGAGGGTTGTTTTTATATTCCTTTTTTCTTTACATTCTCGTTTTCTTTCGTACTATTTTTTTTATTAAGTTTTCTTATTTATTTATAATATTATTCTTTTTTATTCAAGTCAGCTCTTTCACTGTAATTATTTTTTATTTTTTTACATTATTATTGTTTTTATTTTTAATTATTTTTATATTTATTTAATAATGTAATATTTCATGTTATGCGATTATTTTCATCTCTTTTTATTTCTCTTCTTGTTCCGTTTTTTCTTATATTTTAAAATTTTTTGTAGGTGGACAATTGCTTAATCAACTAGATAATATAATAATAATATTTTAATGAATTTTTTTATTGCTTTTTGGTACTTTTTTAGTTCTTTTTGGTTTTTATTATTATCATTTTTTGTTTATATTTTAAATTTGGGATGATCTAAGGTTCAAGGTTTAAGGCCATATTTATATTTTAAATTTTTTCTTTAACTGAGATAACTACTGTTTCAATTTACCGCTTGTTTTTTACCCCAACTGACCCTAATTATATTTTTATCTCTTTATTCTCGTCTGTTTTCGATTTTTAAATTTTTGTTCTTATACTGCAACAAAAATCAACTTTGATTTTTTCATTTTGCAAAATTTAATTAAAAATAAGAGACTGTTTTCATTTATCCCAAAAAATTGGAAATTCGGGGTAAATAGAAACAGTAGTTTTAAAAATATTTCTTACAATAGAGAGAGAGGGGGGGGGTATTGCGATTTAAAGGAAAAAACTTATATTATTGCTGAAACTTTGCAAATCTTTTTCTATTTACCCCAACTGACCATTCTTGTTTTTATTTCTTCAAATTTTGATTCGTGCTTCTATTCTCATTTTTGTCTTTTCTTTCCACAATTTTGTTTTTATTAATATTTATTAATTGTTTATTTTTATTATAGTTTTGTTATGTATTTTTTAAATCAATTTTATCGTTTTATTTTTTAGTTTTTTATTCTTATTCTTGTCTGTAATTTTTAAAATTTTATTGTTTTTTTTTAAATTTATAGAAAGGCCCCTTTGTGTTATTATTTTTTTTGTTTTTTAGCTTTTTTTCTATTCCTCCTTTTATTCATATACTTGTTTGTATTATCAGTATTTATCTTTATATATTTTTAATCTTCTTTTTATTATTCATGTTAGATCTTTTACTGTTTTTATTATTATTTTTGTTTCTATTTTTTCTGGTTTTACTTTTTTTTATTTTCTTCAATAATTATAATATATTTATTTTTGTTCTCATTTGTATTTTTATTATATTATTATTGTAATTTGTAGATGGTAGACAAGTGCCCCCACCGAGAGACCAGAATAGGCGGGGACGTAATAGAAGAGGCGGACATTATGATAGAAGGCAGGGTCCCATTATATACTGCCGCAACGTTTTTTATAATTAATTTTGTAAATTAATGTTTAAATAAATTTACTTTCGTATTTTTTGTAGCACATAATCTTTTCCTTCCAATTCATGATGAATTTGATAATTAAAATTTTCTTAAAATAGTTATGGGTAATTATTTTAAAATAATATTTTATTTTTTTAACAAATAATGCAAAAAAATATTCAATGGGAGGCACCTCCTATATTTAGACTACTTTAAATTTTAATGATGGCACGATGTTTTACTTTATAATTGCATTATTCGGGTCTTAACTACTTACAAGGTGGTAAAAAAATTTTCTAAGTTTTGACCATTTTGGTTTAGTTCTAGGTTGCCTCTTCCAAAAGGTACCTTTTTTAGTGCACTTCATTCCGGACAACCAGTAATATGAAAATTGAACATTCAAACGGGAATCTCATCACAACGCTTTATTCTAGACAATAAACCAAAAAGACGATTTTTTAAAAGGTTTTTTCATTTTTATGTAAATTTTTCAAAAAAATTCGCAAAAAACGCAGTGTTTTGGGGCAATTTACCACCCGTATAAAAAAACAGGGGGTAGAAATATGAAATTTTTTAAGTTCTTAAGTTCTTTCTATACTTTTTTAAATAAGGAATCGAATGATTTTGGGTTTTTTAAAATTGCTTCGTTAGATTTCGAGAAAAACCGCGCACCAGTTTGAAAAAAGATTTTTCATAACATAATACATTGAGGCAGGACTATTAAACAATTTTTTATTACAACATTCTTTGCATATTTAAAAAAAAAACATTTTGGGACAGTAATTTTATGATACTGAGGAACATTCTCAAGCAAAAAATCTTTTTTTTGGAAAGCTAAACTAGAAAGTCCTTTCAATTAATAAAATTTGTAAAAATTATATTTATGATATTCATAAAATTATTTTAATCTAAATAACATTTTAAACTTTGAATTAAACTAATTGTCAGATTTCGAATACTCAGAGTTAAGGGTTTCTAAGTAATAAATTCTATTTATTGTTACTACAATTTTTTAATAATATAATTTGTAATAATTTTACTGCATTTTTCAATAGTGTAACAGTAATTATGCTTACTATTACATGTATTTCTTATTGTGTATTATTTAAAATAATAATAAAAACCGCTGCCAAGTTGAAGTATGAATTCCTCCCTCATGGGAAATGTACTTTTTGTCTTTATTCAATGAAGACTTGGCTTCTTCATGGAGATTTTTCGTGACCAATTTATAGGATAATTATAATAAATGTTCACAAATAGGTCAATCGATTTGTTTTTGAATATTTTCTAAGTTGGTTATGATTATTTTTAAGTTACACAAAGATTGTTAAGCAAATAATGCAAAAATGTCAATTTTTCAAAATTTCAAAATATTAATAACTCTGAATAGAATAAGAGGAAAATGTTTGCTAATAGGTCAAAACATGCGTCTTGAAAAACTCAACAAAACTAGGGATAAACATGCATTGGTGTCAGTCCTTTTTTTAAAGTTATAGGCAAAAAACGTTTTTTTCTAATTTTTAAAAATTCAATAACTTTAAATAGAATATCAGTTGATTATTCGCTAATAGCACATAAGATGCGTCTTAAAAAAACATAAAGATACATAAAAAATCGAGTTCGAAAAATTTCGGTATTACAATACTTCCTATTTTTCAAATATAATTCAAAATTGACACCCAGTTTTCCCTTTCTAGAGCCATTACTGACCTATGTTTTGATTATGCAAAAAGCCGGTAGCGCTAGCATCTAATGTTTTGTTGATCTACTTTACCTAAAACAACGCGAAAGTATTTGTCGTGAGGTGTGAAAAGTTATTGTTATACATTTCGGTTATTTTTTAAAAAGTGTAATTTTTTATTACCATTGATTGCCACATTCATAAATCATCTGAAGATGGGCAATTCTCGTAAATGTGGTTATCATTTTTTTGTCTTTTCTTTCCACAATTTTGTTTTTATTAATATTTATTAATTGTTTATTTTTATTATAGTTTTGTTATGTATTTTTTAAATCAATTTTATCGTTTTATTTTTTAGTTTTTTATTCTTATTCTTGTCTGTAATTTTTAAAATTTTATTGTTTTTTTTTAAATTTATAGAAAGGCCCCTTTGTGTTATTATTTTTTTTGTTTTTTAGCTTTTTTTCTATTCCTCCTTTTATTCATATACTTGTTTGTATTATCAGTATTTATCTTTATATATTTTTAATCTTCTTTTTATTATTCATGTTAGATCTTTTACTGTTTTTATTATTATTTTTGTTTCTATTTTTTCTGGTTTTACTTTTTTTTATTTTCTTCAATAATTATAATATATTTATTTTTGTTCTCATTTGTATTTTTATTATATTATTATTGTAATTTGTAGATGGTAGACAAGTGCCCCCACCGAGAGACCAGAATAGGCGGGGACGTAATAGAAGAGGCGGACATTATGATAGAAGGCAGGGTCCCATTATATACTGCCGCAACGTTTTTTATAATTAATTTTGTAAATTAATGTTTAAATAAATTTACTTTCGTATTTTTTGTAGCACATAATCTTTTCCTTCCAATTCATGATGAATTTGATAATTAAAATTTTCTTAAAATAGTTATGGGTAATTATTTTAAAATAATATTTTATTTTTTTAACAAATAATGCAAAAAAATATTCAATGGGAGGCACCTCCTATATTTAGACTACTTTAAATTTTAATGATGGCACGATGTTTTACTTTATAATTGCATTATTCGGGTCTTAACTACTTACAAGGTGGTAAAAAAATTTTCTAAGTTTTGACCATTTTGGTTTAGTTCTAGGTTGCCTCTTCCAAAAGGTACCTTTTTTAGTGCACTTCATTCCGGACAACCAGTAATATGAAAATTGAACATTCAAACGGGAATCTCATCACAACGCTTTATTCTAGACAATAAACCAAAAAGACGATTTTTTAAAAGGTTTTTTCATTTTTATGTAAATTTTTCAAAAAAATTCGCAAAAAACGCAGTGTTTTGGGGCAATTTACCACCCGTATAAAAAAACAGGGGGTAGAAATATGAAATTTTTTAAGTTCTTAAGTTCTTTCTATACTTTTTTAAATAAGGAATCGAATGATTTTGGGTTTTTTAAAATTGCTTCGTTAGATTTCGAGAAAAACCGCGCACCAGTTTGAAAAAAGATTTTTCATAACATAATACATTGAGGCAGGACTATTAAACAATTTTTTATTACAACATTCTTTGCATATTTAAAAAAAAAACATTTTGGGACAGTAATTTTATGATACTGAGGAACATTCTCAAGCAAAAAATCTTTTTTTTGGAAAGCTAAACTAGAAAGTCCTTTCAATTAATAAAATTTGTAAAAATTATATTTATGATATTCATAAAATTATTTTAATCTAAATAACATTTTAAACTTTGAATTAAACTAATTGTCAGATTTCGAATACTCAGAGTTAAGGGTTTCTAAGTAATAAATTCTATTTATTGTTACTACAATTTTTTAATAATATAATTTGTAATAATTTTACTGCATTTTTCAATAGTGTAACAGTAATTATGCTTACTATTACATGTATTTCTTATTGTGTATTATTTAAAATAATAATAAAAACCGCTGCCAAGTTGAAGTATGAATTCCTCCCTCATGGGAAATGTACTTTTTGTCTTTATTCAATGAAGACTTGGCTTCTTCATGGAGATTTTTCGTGACCAATTTATAGGATAATTATAATAAATGTTCACAAATAGGTCAATCGATTTGTTTTTGAATATTTTCTAAGTTGGTTATGATTATTTTTAAGTTACACAAAGATTGTTAAGCAAATAATGCAAAAATGTCAATTTTTCAAAATTTCAAAATATTAATAACTCTGAATAGAATAAGAGGAAAATGTTTGCTAATAGGTCAAAACATGCGTCTTGAAAAACTCAACAAAACTAGGGATAAACATGCATTGGTGTCAGTCCTTTTTTTAAAGTTATAGGCAAAAAACGTTTTTTTCTAATTTTTAAAAATTCAATAACTTTAAATAGAATATCAGTTGATTATTCGCTAATAGCACATAAGATGCGTCTTAAAAAAACATAAAGATACATAAAAAATCGAGTTCGAAAAATTTCGGTATTACAATACTTCCTATTTTTCAAATATAATTCAAAATTGACACCCAGTTTTCCCTTTCTAGAGCCATTACTGACCTATGTTTTGATTATGCAAAAAGCCGGTAGCGCTAGCATCTAATGTTTTGTTGATCTACTTTACCTAAAACAACGCGAAAGTATTTGTCGTGAGGTGTGAAAAGTTATTGTTATACATTTCGGTTATTTTTTAAAAAGTGTAATTTTTTATTACCATTGATTGCCACATTCATAAATCATCTGAAGATGGGCAATTCTCGTAAATGTGGTTATGTAACTGAAGGAAAAATAAAAAAATCGACGAAGAGGAAAATGGCTAAAATCAGGTTAGTAAATAAAATATTCTGCTTGTTTTCTTTCTTTTAACATGAGCAAAAATTTTAAGACCTAATATTTTACAATTTCTGTAACTGCAATTCATAAAGTAATATTTTTATAAGATTGTACAAGAGACCTTATGTTTCTCGTTTTAAAACCACATATTTTTGAGTTGTTAGCGAAAAATTTACAAAGTGTCTGGGTATGAATTTAGTATGTGTGGTTTGTCTGAAATTGACATTTTAGATTTTTATCAACAGATTTTTAAAAATGTATATAATCATTGGACATTTCCATAGTAAAAATATAGTATATGGGTGAGTCTCCACAAAGCGTACAATTACATGTCTCTTGTGTTTTTTAAGAAATAAATTGCCTACAGCCACTTTAATTTATAAAATTAAATATTATTTTCAAAATGCAAATTAAAGAGCCAAACTATCATAGGGAAGCCTGTTCCCAGCGTCAGTTACTAAATAAAAATAAATATTTTTAACAATATAGGTACAATAATAAAAATAATTAATGGTAACATTTTCTTATTGTCAAAATTTGTAGAATAAAAAAAATTTAATGTTAATAAAAAAAAATTATTTTCTTAGATGATAATTCATGTCCTCAGTTTTGTGCATCACGGGAAAGCTTTTAAAAAAATTAAAATATTTTATAAAAATTAAATCAGAATTTCGTTTTACGTTTTACACCTTTAAAGCGCCAATTTTACATAGGGAGCGTTCATAAACTACGTAAACCCATTTTTGCCTATTTTTGACCCCCCCTCTCCTACGTAGATTAACGTAGACTTTTGCTAAACCGCCCTCCCCCTATTTCCCGTGGTTCTTTTCAAAATAAATTTTTAGTGTATATTTAACTATATAGGAACGTTTAAAATCTACAATCAAAAATAATATTTAAAAAATTTCCTTTAAATATAAGTATACTACGCGCGAAATTTTAAAAAATTATAAACAATTTGTCCTGTCCTTTACAGATATTTCATTCTTGACTATCATGCTTGAAAGTTATATTAGGATTTTAATTTTAATTGGAAAAAAATTCTATAATAACAAAGATGAAATTGAGGCTCCGGATTTTAAAAGAGCACACGCGCGAACTGATGTGAAATAAGTTGGCCCCTGGAGATATACAGGTTAGAAGTGTCGTGTCACAATTCACAAAATACGCAACGCTCTTAATATTGTTCTATCTTTTTCAAATCAATAATTAAAGGTCTAATATTTTCCAAAAAACTCCCTTACATATTAATGAAAATATTTGTCACTGGAAGTTTTTCGAATTGGAAAATTCCTCACACAACTTATTCAATAGAATGTAAGAGACTCAGTTTTAGAGAAAAGTTATTTAAACAAATAAATACTCGGACATATAATTTTTTGAAAATTTTTCAAATGTGCTTTCACTTTTAAAATAGTTTGAAGAATATTGTGTTAAAATTTGGTGAAGAAATATTCATATTTGCAGAAGTAATAGCGAGCTAAACACAAAAAAGCATTAAAAATTTCGATTCTTAAAAATGACGTTTTTTGTAAATAAATAAAAAACGTTAAGTTATAAAACAAAATTTATTTTGGAAAAAAGATACGCAACAATATTCTCTACAAGAAACAATAATTGAAATTAAATTTTAAACAATTTCAAAATGCTATCCCCAGGGGACAAATTATTTCACGACAGTTCGCGCGTGTGCCCTTTTAAGATCAACAGCCTCAATTGTACGCTACGCGGAAAATCACCCATATACAGCGAGTTCCTGCGTACCGTACTTTCATAACAAATTTTTGAGAACATAAAATTCGCGTATTGTGCTTCTACTAAACTCCCATTTTTATCATATTAGTTATTGCTTCTAAAGCACTATGATGTACTTCCAACATTTCTCCTGTCGACAACAGAAATATATGCAAATCTACGTAATTCAATTACAAATTAACGATTTATTAAAGGTAGCCGCTACCCCCTAAAAAAATATACATATGAAGAAAAATTCCTGAAGTGATCCAACTTTAAAATTTCAGGTTTTTGGATCAATCTAAAATTTGCACAAACTTTAGTACTATGTGTGAGTACTTTACCCACAAATTATTATTAAGTTTTATGTAAAACTGTAGAGTTTTACAGGGTTCCAGTTTTTCGTCAAATGTGAACACTGGATGTTTTAAAAAAACGTAACTTCTATATAAATGGATGAAAAAAATTTTGACCTAGATGTTTTCGAAAGGTTTTTTATGCTCCTGCGAATGGTGAAAATTTTTTTTTTAATTCAAAATTTACCCCATTTTTGAAAATCAATTATATTTTTGATTTTTTATTTCAAAAAGGCACTTTTTAGAATTTTTTTTAGAATGACGTTTTTTTCGTGATATTAATTAATTAATTAATGTTTATAACAAATTGAATATTTTACAAACAAATAAAGTTACCGTAATTCTCAAATTAGGAATTGAAATTTAACGCAATTCCGTATCCAACGAGCCCTATATGAAGTATGTGGTATAAGTAGATTGTTAAACAAGTTGTAAATTCAGATGTTCATTACATGAACATTTTGCTTCCTCTTTACGATCAGCAAAAAAATTTGCTTCCTCGTGAAGAAAGCATTAACATTGAAATAAACATACAAAAATAATATAATAATATAAACATTTGAGTACCTATACATTTGAGTTAAATTTAAAGAATTAATGGAAGTTACAAAATCAAAAATTCATATTTTAACCGAAATTTCTAAATATTAATGAAAAATAATATATAATTTATAATTATTTACAATTATATCGATTCGTTTTAATACAAGGAACACAATTATTTTATATTTAAACTTGAATTTAAATAAAAAAACAATTTTTCAGCTAAAATGTGTATTTTCTATTTTTAACTTTCATTAATTTATTAAATTTACCTCAAATGTAAATTTTATATATACCAATCGATTCGTTTTCATGTAAGGAATACAATTATTTCATCTATAAACTTAAATTTAAATAATCACAAAAGTTTATAGCCAAAATATGAATTTTTGATTTTTTAACTTTCATTAATTCTTTAAATTTAAATTAAAAATATACTTTATATATGTATACCGATCGATTTGTCTTGACGTAAGGAATACGATTTTCTAATATATAACCTTAAATTTTTCTATTTAAAATTTTTTTCGATTAAAAAATATTTTTGGAAAAAAGACGAAAAAAAAATTTTTTTTTTGTATTTTTTAAAATCCTTTGGTCAGATTTGAGATATTAATATGATAAATGAGCCTACCAAATTTTATCTGAATCCATTAAAAACTGTTCAAGCTATCTTCTAAACAAAAAAGGGATCCACATACACACATACATACATTCGGACAATTGATCAGGATCTCATATAACATGTTTCTATATAGAGAAAAATTTGTTTCTGACACTTTGAAAATTTTTATAAACGAAAGGACTACAAAACTTCCTCCACGAGGAAGCAAAAACAATTACTTAACTTTGCAATTGTTTATTAACAATCTACTTATCCAAAATACTTCACATAGGGCTCGTTGGATGCGGAATTACCTTAACTTTCAATTGCTAATTTCAGAATTACGATAACTTTATTTGTTTGTAAAATATTTCATTTATTATAAACATTAATTAATTAATTAATATCTCAAAAACAAAAGAAACGTCATTCTAGTTTTTTTTAGTA